AAGCCACTCTCCATCATCTATCAGCAGTCCTGGCCAACAGGAGGTCCCAGGTGACTGGAGGATCGCCAGCGTAACACCCATCTACAAGAAGGGCTGGAAGGAGGATCCTGGGAACTACAAGCCTGTCAGCCTGACCTCGGTGCCAGGCAAGATTATAGAGTGATTCATCCTGAGTGTGCTCACCGGGCATGTGAAGGACAACCAGGGGATCAGGCCCAGCCAGCATGGGTTCATGAAAGGCAGGTCCTGCCTGACCAACCTGATCTTCTACGACCAGGTGACCTGCCTAGTGGATGAGCGAAAGGCTGTGGGCATCATCTACCTAGACTTTAGTAAGGCCTTTGACACTGTTCCCCACAGAATCCTCCTGGAGAAACCAGCTGCCCATGGTTTGGATGGGTGTCCTCTCTGCTGCATAAAGAACTGGCTGAATGACCGAGCGCAGAGAGTGGTAGCGAATGGAGTTAAATCCAGCTGGTGGCTGGTCATGAGTGGTGACCCCAGAGCTCAGTATTTGGGCTGGTCTCGTTTACTATCTTTACCAGTGATCTGGATAAGCGGATGGAGAGCTCCCTCAGTAAGTTTGCAGATGACAACAAGCTGAGCGGGAGTGTCCATCTGTTTGAGAGTAGCAAGGCTCTGCTGAGGGATCTGGACAAGCTGGGTCAATGGGCTGAGGCCACCATATGACCTTCAACTAGGCCAAGTGCCAGGTCCTGCACTTGGGTCACAATAACCCTATGCAACACTTCAGGCTTGAGGAGGAGCGGCTGGAAAGCTGCCTGTCAGAAAAGGACCTTAACAGTGTTGGTCGACAGCCGGCTGAACATGAGCCAGCAGTGTGCCCAGGTGACCACGTAGGCCAACGGCATCCTGGCTTGGATCAGGAATAGTGTGGCCAGCAGGAGTAGGGAGGGGATCGTGCCCCTGTACTCGACACTGATGAGGCCGCACCTCGAGTACTGTGTTCAGTTTTTGGTCCCTCACTACATGAAGGATATTGAGGTGCTGGAGCGTGTCCAGAGAAGGACAACAAGGCTGGTGAGGGGTCTGGAGAACAACTCTTACGAGGAGCGGCTGAGGGAGCTGGGGCTGTTTAGTCTGGAGAAGAGGAAGCTGAGGGGAGACCTCATTGCTCTCCACAGCTACCTGAAAGGAGGTTGTAGGGAGGTGGGTGTTGGTCTCTTCTCCCAAATAACTAGGGATAGGATGAGAAAGAGTGGCCTTAAGTTGTGCCAGGGGAGGTTTAGATTGGATATTAGGAAAAATTTCCTTCCTGAAAGAGTGGTCAGGCATTGGAATAGGCTGTCCAGGGAGGTGGCTGAGTCTCCATCCCTGGAGGTGTTTAAAAACCATGTAGATGTGGCACTTCATGATATGACTTAGTAGGAATGGTGGTGCTGGACAGATAGTTGGACCTGATGATCTTAGAGGTCTTTTGCAACCTATGATTCTATGATATGCTTACTCTAAAATAAATGGGTCTGACACTCTTCCTATAAACTTTTCTACCTATTTTAACAACTTGAGATTTACCAGACTTCTTAAAACTCTTCAAATAATCTTATTAACCACTTACCTTCCATTTCAGCAATTGTCTCCATCTCCTTATGGATTTCTGGTTGGTTCTCTTGACTGCCATCAGAAGGAACGCTTGCAGCACTGACAAGTTCCTCTTCATGTCTGGATATCGCTGCCAATGCCAACAGTCTGCTTGTCTCTATGGTCTCATCACTGCCAGCAGAGGAGAGGAGAGGAGGAATAGTCTGAAAGCCGCCAGCACCATCACATTCTCTTCTGTCACTGGTTTTGTCTATCTCTGTAACCTCTGTTTTGCAAGACGATGCAGGTAACACATAATTTTGACTATCTGTAGTCATGCCTACATCACACCAGTCACTCGAAGATGGCTTTGATCTGTCACACACACTCTCAGCAATGCATTCTTCTCCAGGGTGTTTCATACTACTGTCCTCATTTGAAGCAGTCTTGTTTTCTTCCCAAATGCTTAAACTTTTGCTGTCATTTGAAGGAAAACCGCCTTTTAGGAAAACGCTGCTGTCGAAGTTCCACTCCTCCTCCTCCTCCTTCACCTGGAGGACCGGCGCCACCTGCTCCTCTGCGCCATCCTGGAGGAAGTCCTCATCGCTCAGCACAAAGACAGTGATCGGGAGAACGATTTCGAAGACATCCGACTCTGAGGGCAGAGGAACAGAGCATTCATCTCACTTCTGAAACACCTGAAGCAGCCGCCGGTCG